CTGAAAATAACTGAAAATAACTGTCTGATTAGAAGTCCTAAAAAAAAGGTCCCAAAGAAATAAACACAATGCAGAAATGATTCACCGTGCTTAACAGCCATGGGGAAACAGAGTAAATCACTTGTGATAAGAAAACTGACAAGTGATTTCCATGAAAACGCCAAAATTTCTGGTAGTTTGAGATCCTTTATAATCTCCATCGAAGATCTTTTACATGCGTCCTGTTCGTTGCATCCCATCTGAAATGTCTATTCTCAATCTTCATTGGTCCACTACGACCACTGACGGTTAAGCTATGTATCACACTGTGCTAACATGAAACCAGTCAGTCAAAGTGTTTCTGGTAATACACGGGATTCAATAGTCTACGCTTCCGGGGGTAAGATTTAATACAGAAATCGTGCAAACAGTATTGACGATTCGCAGAAATGGACAAAATGATTGTGTGGCCTTTTAAAAATTTTCCCAAAAACATTGTAACGCTAACGATAGCCGATTATTCTCTTTACGGAAGCACTGAGTTAAAACTCTTGTCATCGTTTATTAATGGACAACATGCATTGATTGATTATAACTTGGGTTCTGTTCCGTGATATGCACAGATCGAACGGAAGAGCTATATAGGATTGAGTGTTTGCGACTGTATCAGAATCGGTCATTATGCAATAAAAACGGTAACTGCCAACTTACCTGAAGCTTCCACATTTATTGATTGTAAGCATGCTTAAAAGTCCACAGGTGACTATGGAGCGATAATAACACTTCACTTTAGATGAATACATTAAATATTACCTGTGAATGCGATTGATTCGGTGATCGTAGTTGTGTAATTAAAAGTGGAACACTCAGTGCAACTAAAAGGGTAGTCTAATGTGGCATAGAACTGATTTAGGATATCCCCAAAGCGCACTGGACAGATTGTAACTCTTTTTTGCCCTATTTTCGTACCCCTGGTTTTTAGGACACTCGATCGATGCCCATCAGCTTGAGCGTATAGGTATACGCACTGAATTCAAAATTATCTTGGATAGTCCATATGAACTGGCAAATATTGGGGTTTGAATATATTGCTGTTTCGTTTCTACGAATGAACAATGCAAAACAGATTCCAGATCAAGCAATGTTCTTAGTGTTAATTTGTGTATCAATGCTGGTAACCGCTGAAAATGTTGTCTATGGATTACCGACTGGATTCAAGCTAGGAGTTTGAGGATAGAACCCTGGATAACCAAGCAAGATTGCCCAGTTTGTCTGTAAAATGAGCAGTATGATTAAATTTTTCCCTTATTTCCTTCCCTTTTGTGTATAAATATCCCATTTGAACATCAGCAAAATATTCTAAATAAACTTCACATATTCCCTGATTTGTACTGGGCTCCATGCTGCACTGTGTTTGGGCCCTAAAGATCAACCACGGAACGGTAACAAATACTAGTTACACAGAAGTGATGGGTACTTCTGCGGTGGCAACACTTTGGTTTCCGATGCGTCAGAACATGAAAACCGCTTGTGCTGCTGTAGTCTAGCCGAATGTGAGAACTTTTAACGCACTGATTCATTATCTCTGCACGCACTCTGCACTGAATTCTCACATTGGACGATTTCACAAACACATATCTCTCTAGTTCAATCTAAAAGTAGCACTGAATCGATTTTTCCAAATTAACAGTTCGTGAATCCCGGGGCCAGCAAACGATCTTCACACGTTCCACGGTTCCGTGAATAAGAGAAATACCATGAAAATTCTAAAGGCGGAAAAGGCTACCAGCTGTGAAAAGAAAGTTTACACCTTTAGATCCACATTGAACGCGTTCGGTGGTCTTGTGCTATAATCTTCAGGGCTTGTTTAGTCGACCATCAGCAATTCCCACGGGCGCTGTCTTCTTAACTGTGTGTGTGTGTGGGGGGGGGGAGGAATGATTCATTCTCTTTCATGTGTACCTAAATGTGACAGTAAAGGGAAACAAAAACAAACGATGGACAAATGGTTCTCGTGGTAAATGAACAGTGCACGGTTTTCGTGTTTGCACACATTAAGATGAACGTGATAAAAACTATTGCCATGCTGAATCCAATACGAAACAGGTTTTTCCGACGGTTAGCAGAAAATTTTTGATGAAAATGTTCGTACTGAAACAGCATATGTAGAAGTACCATGCTCGATTTAGTAACTGATAATATATGACTGAACGGGCGTGTCTATTGTAAGTCAATCTGCTTACTCAGTATTGATAGGAGACCAACCGGCCAAAATATCACCTTGCCATAATGTTTTTGCGGTTACCGCTCGAAGCTATAGATTTTGCGCCTCCCCGAGGTGGTACAGATCTCTCTAAGATCAATGGATCAGGATAAGTTTTAATTGCAAAAGTATCAATGGTCTTAGTAGGATTCAAACTAATGCAAGGAAGCCGCCTATCCTGAGTTACAAGGCCACACCGGAAGTATTGATCGTTTTGGGTTTAAATGATTCACCCAACATACACAAATTTGTAGAGTTCTCTACTGTTAGTTTCACGATTTAAACATATTGATGTTGTCCTCCATTATCTGCCAACAACACAACAGCACAATTCGAGTGAGAACAAATTGGCTTTACCCTAGATTTGAATGATAAGTCAAGTTTTAGAGAAAGCTCAATAGATGAGGTGTCACTTATCCATTTGTACTGATTGTAAACTTCTCATGATATTTACTTAAAATCATCTCAATGGACTCATGAAAACTAACCAAGGGAATGTCGAGACATTGCACAAATGTTAAATATTGCTCCCACTGTATTCGATTTTTTCTGAAAGTGTATGATGAAAACAAAGTGCAATATATACGTGAGCTATCAATCACAGCTGGATGATTGCGTGAACAATTGGCAGAACATGTACAATCATTCTTTCACAAGTCACATCAAGCTTTTGCTCCTCCGATATTCAAAACATGTTAAGCAGTGTACTCAGACGTCTCTCTGCAACCGGATTTACTTGGTTTGGTAAAATTCCTTACTTATTCTGGTACCCAATGCAATCGAAATGCTGCAGTTCATTAAATTTAGAGATAAACTTTTATGGCCTGAAGACGTTTGTGTGACAAGGCCGAGAGTGAGCTACAGAACAGTCGTTTCGTCCTAGTTGGCACTCATCAACAGTGCCTGCTGGATACTTTGTAACCCTGGCGAAGCTCGCATTGCAAATTGTCTCGTTGAGAGTGAGAAACACTTAGGCCACAACAATAAACAGATCAGGGGTCCGCCAATTCACCACAACTCATTAACTTTTATACCTCCAGAAAACAAAGCCAAACCGATTTTTAATTTTAAACCGTTCTACTGGTTCTGCGCTTTGAGCGGATAAAATGTGTTTAAACGTGCTTACTCATCTTGCATTATGTGATTTTTTATTAATATGGGGGTCAAACTATTGTTTACACTAAAATGCTTCGCCAAATATAGTAAAAGTAGAATATTCACGAAAAAATGTGCTTGCAGAGTGCTCACAGAGGAGTCCTCCTCTGGTGAAGTTAGTATGGGGGCAAATTATACAGATACTTTTACTTGTGATGGACAAACTCCTGCCGAAGAATTAGTCAACTTCTGGGATGTCCCTAACCATGGCGATCCGAGCGTGACAATCGGTGGAAAGGTTGGTGTAGTGTGAGCCCCAGCTCTGCTTCCAGTTACGAACTGAAGACCCAGTAATTCCAAATCCGCATTGATTGTACTGCTCCAGGTCTTCACTTGACCACCGAGTTGGTAACGCCATTCACGACAAGTGCAGGGGCCACAGCCTGCAGCAAGAGTTGAATGTCGAACCTGCGGAGCACGTAACCAAACAACTGAAGGTATTGGCGTTGCAGTATTTTCGAAAGCTTGTCAATGTTCAAGCAGCGCTATCAAACCTCATTATCGGAAACCCGACCTCTTCAATTTACTTTAAGGATGCGGTGTAGGAACCAACGATCAAAGACCTCGAGCTTCTTTGTACGTTGTACTCTTAGCGACTAGGTTTCACAACCATAAGTGAGGAGAAGGCGGATGGAAGCCTAATAAACCCAAAACTCAGTGTTTAAGCTTATTTCGCATGGATTCTACAGCGGTTTGAAGCGTTGCAGGACAGCTCTTCTAACTCCATCTACACGGAGTTGGATTTCATCCTTAGCCTGGCCTTTTGGTGTGATCGTAGAGCCAAGATACTGGAAAACCTCGGTTGATTCGACAAGCTCCCTTTTAATCGAGAGTGGTTGTCATGGCAGAAGTTTTGGTTAAAAATGTATTACGTTTTGACGGGCAGATTTATAGCCCAATGGTCTTGATAAGCTGGTTTGTACGACTAACAACAGGCTGAAGGTTGTCCATGGGGCCTCCAAGTATGACGACATCATCTGAAAACTCGAGGTCAGCAATCCTTGTATCTGGGTCAAGCTGCACTCCGGGGTGGTCGACGAGTGTTTATCACATTATCCAATCTGTGTGACTGAATAACACCAGCGACAAAGGAAAACCCTACCTGACTCAAGAGCTCAGTGTAAACTTAACCGGTTTATCTCCGTAGGTATAGTTGAGGGCCCGGATCTCTGAGTAGTATGACTTTAAAAGCCTGATGAACTTCTCGGGCATTCCGTCGGACAGCAATATACAATACAAGGATGCTCTATCGGCAAAGTCAAAGGTAACGCTAAATTTAATCAAACATGTGGTGGTAGATTCTTGAAACTTGTAGCGGTGTTTCAGTATTCTACGGAAGGTGAAGGTTTGATCAAAGCAGTCTCTTCCGCGGCGGAACCTCTGGTTTGGATGAGAACATTATATTGTGAAGACGTGAGAATCCCCGCAATACGGTTTCTTATATTGCTGTTTTTAATCGACCATATTTTCCCTTGAGAAAAATATGAGTTTTTTGTGGTTCTACATTGCCTGTATAACCCGCTGTTTTAAGTTGTTCCCAAAGTTGCATTGATTGTGTTATTACTATACTTAGCAAATATTTTTCCACACGTCATTTTCCTTCATGGCGAAGGTTTGTGTAACCTCAAATATATCCCAGGAGCTGGAAAATTAATTGGGATTTCCGTTTTATTACTTGAGAGAAAAAACATTGAGAAAGTTGTGAATGAGCCTTGCAGAACATTTGATATTCTGTACAACATGCCCACGGTAACCAATGAACAGTTTGTTAACACAACCACTTGTGTTCATTTTGTCCCATCGAGTGATTTCAGTTTTTAGATTGGTTGTCAATTTTCCTGCATTTTTGTTACTGTTACCGTTATTCTTCACATCGAGTTTTCTATTCTCAAACAATGTCAAACATTTGATGATTATTTGGATGCAAATCGAAATCACCAATCAGATGTAATGATTATTAGGATATAAGATTGGATATGTAACAAACAGATGTGGAAACTAGTACAATTAAAAACTTGAGCGTTTCTACAAATTTCACAATCATTCTGTTCGATTCATTTATCCATCTAACCCCGACTCCCATCATTTAATTTTAATATCCCGCACAGACAACCAAGCTTGGAGCTGTTTTGTCCGATCTGGCCCCAGGCACGTGGTACCAGTTCCGTCTGTTAGCATTGTCTAGTGAAGGTTACGGTGGCTGGGGTCAACCGAGTCGACCAATCAGAGTGCGCTCTAGACCCGAGCCCCCGATGAGTCCACGCAATCTGACGGAAGCAAAGACGCGCATTTTTGAGAACACTGTGGATGTGACCATTAATTGGCAACCACCTAAGGGTGTTAGTCTTCCACTGAAGAAATATCAGGTTTGTTTCACTAGCTAGCATTTTCTCATTGTAAGATGTTGTCTAATGGGTTAATACAGTGGATGAGATTGATCTAATGGGAGCAGAAGGTTGTTTCCGTTTTTATATGTTTAGGATTGATAAACCTGTTTTTTCACCTAGTAGCTCAAAACAGTAGAAACAATGTGCTGATAACAAAAAATTGTTTCGGAAAAAAATTAGTTTAGGATTAATTCATCTCCAAGCAAACATAGAGACTATCAAATTTAACAGAAATCGCCCTGGTACCTATTTTAATTTACCTCTGGAACCGCTCTCCGTCTACAAAATGAATTAATCACGTTAAATAGTATCATCGATACAGAAAGAAGGCACATGTAGCGAGATGTTAGCATTTCACTAAATAATATAGAACTTTTAAGCGCACACAGACTAAAACCCAGTAGTTCTTACAAGGAATTGCAAATAAATTGAGAATGCGAGTATTGAACAATGTACACACAATTACTCGTGACCTTAACGTTCATCCTGAATATATCAATCCTGGTTGGAGTTTTCTAAACACTGCTCCTAAGCTGCTTCTCCGTCCTACATGTCAGTCACTGCTGTCTATTTTCCTCATTTCAATGCTGACGAAATTTAAACATGTACGAGAATATATTTGATACGAAATTCAAATTAGTGATCCAAGCGGCATAGATGATGCAACGCTGCTTCAGTAGCACATCATCGCTGATCAAAGCGAAAGTCAGATCTCGGTCCTCAAAGGCGGAACATAAATATACAACATGCTGGTCGAGCAAGCAGTTCTGCTTGCATTGTTCCATCCGGCTTCACAAATATTTTGAGAGCGGCATCCTTGACACTACTGTTCTCATCTCCAGATGCACTACGTGTCTCAAAGTATTTTGGTTAATTGATCTACAGCTTCCAGTGGAAAGTCTAGGTGACTATTTGATCCACACTGCATCACCGACCCGGAAAGTCAGAGCCACGACGGTGCTTGTCTTTCATAGAGATACGATTGTATCACATACTGTTATTACTAAGCTGCTTTCCCGGAGGCAAAGAGAGAAAGATGTGTTACCACAGCTTGTCCAACTCAATGCAGTAGTGTTAATCATATATCGGAAGTGTTCTGTTTCTTTCATTGAGAAATGAGCACTTCATTTTGTGGCATTTGATCCATGTTCCTGCATTCAAATCATCCCAGTTTTGTGTAGGAGAGACTGTTTCACTTAGTCAGCGAGCTTATTTACCCAGAGAAGTATGTTATGTTTCAGTTCGTGTAAACAAATTTTAGTTTGAAAATCGGGTAACTGGTATCTGTATTGTGACCCAACACAGCAACCGCACCGAACTGCGAGGTTCTTTGTTCAGTCGTATTCAATATTATTTAAATGCGGCAGCAAGACAAGTGCTCTCTTGATCCAAAGAGACACCTCGTTGTTCACCAATGTAAATCTCTCAATTAAAATGTTCTGTTGTGATGACTAGAAAGTCGGTACGGTCCATCAGTTCTAACGCGCAAATTGTTGTCACGAGAGGAAGAATTATTGTAAGCTATGGTTGCAACCGAGATCTATAGACGTTGAACAGTCAACTGGAGAAAGTAAATTGGTGGAAATTATCTCCTTTTTCTACAATTCGTTCTCTATGCAATCAGGTGACTTGGAGGAGACATTATGGATTTCATGGGGATGATCGCAGTTCTTTCACAGAATATGAAGCAAATGTTCCCGGGGTAAGTTCAGTTATTTTCATTTATTGGAATGTTGATTCTTAGTTATCGCTGACCAGAATGGAACCCTTAGGGAATACATTTTAGACCAGTTTCCTGACAAAAGATCTATTCATATAGGTTTGCGATTAACTAGATAGCGTAAGCAGGTTGTATCCAGTAACCCTGTCAACTCCACCTCCCTTTCCTCGAACACGTGCACTTCTTATGTACCCGTACAGCCATTAAATATTCGTTTCCACCACTATGAAAAGTAACCAAGCCATTAAAAAAATACAAAACGAATTTCCTCATGTCTCAAAGGGATAGGGAACTGAAAAGCTCAGAAATACTCCTCAGCCGTTTCACCCTTGTTGAGTGCCATCAGCAGAGAGCAACTCCGTCGACTCAAGTACGGATGGTGAACCGCAGACCTCATCCCAGAGATACGCAGAATTTACACGGTTAGCAGAACTTCAGACTGAAACATGTCATTTCAATTCCAGTAATAAAATCAATAAAAAATGGGAAGTTTCAAGTCAAAGGAGTTTTCAATTGAGGCAATAAGAGGCAGTCGGTCACTAAAAAAACGGAGGGTTATCTCAAGTATTTTTTAACAATAATCAATAAAACACTGTCTGTTGGTATATATGGAATGATGTTGTTTGAATGAAGCAGCTCTATGTTGTTGGTTTATACTCATGCGCAGTATGATCCTGATGCCGACTTGATCATCAGAGGAAAGTTTTGGGCATACTACTCATCAGATTCATTGCCACCGAAACGGTTCACACATGATGAAACGCTTCATGTAACTCTGGTTGTGAAGAATATGAGTGCTTCACTCTTAAACATCAGAATATCTCCCTTAAAGTGATTACAATAATTTTATTGCGGAAATTAGTGCAGCTTGGCACGAGTAGCATGAGCACACCACAATGGTTTAACTAACTACAGCTTGTCTATCTCCCTCACCGTTCTATATACGCGTTACTTTCCGTTTACGTTTCAGGATAAAACTAGTTATACAATTCAAAATCTGAAACCGTCAACATCTTACAAAATTGAGGTGAGTGACTTTTTCGCAAACTGAAGAAATTTGATCTATCGTCCTGTGAGTCGTCTACTTTTCAATGACTGATTGATAAGTGAAAATCCCGATAAATTTTACTTGTCGTAGAACACTTCACTTTCTTTAATAACTGGTGTCGATCCTCAAGTGACATGAAAAATCGCTTAACTTATCTGAAAATTAACTTGTTTGAAAAGATTTCATCAGATGGAATGCGTTTTGAATAGATGATATGCGGAAATCCCGTCTGTTTAATTCGTAGTCAAAGTTTCCGATTGCGTGCAATTTATTCCCCTCCTCACTTGGATGAATTCAATCAACTAATAAATGGACACTTTCCACCTTGTGAATCGCCAGGGATCAGAAGCTAAAAACAGCCAATTCACAAATCAATCATTTTCCATTTTCTTGTTTTCTTTTTTCAGGTTAAAGCTGTTGCGGTATTTGAAGGCAAAGAGTTAAAAAGCCATCCAATCAGCCTATACCTGAACACAATTCCCATACCATCAAGACAAATGGAAAACGGTCAGTTCTCGATCAATGAACATATCGAACTTCGGTAGTCGTTGCATTATTTAAAAACTTGTTAATTCGGTTGTCTCCACTAAACGGTCGCCTTATTCTCGGTCACGTAGCATACTTCGTCACTTATGGTGAGCGGATCAATCAGAATAACAAAGAATTGAGTCAAGTTTGTTGTCCTCCTCAAGTGGAATGACCTTCGATTCTTCTGTGTCCATTCATCGTACATTTGGACACAGTCTGATGGTGTCAGAAACACTCGGTTGGAGAGAAACAAATGTGTTGTGTTAGTTCCGTGACACAATTAGTAGCGTAAGCATTACTGTTCAAGTGGGTGTGACCGTATAAGTTTGATGGATTCGGCATAATGAGTTCGTGAGTGATTTTTGTTGATGCAGACACTATAAAGTAAATAATTTTTGATCACGCTTCAATCCGAAAACAACATGTTGTGAATGGAATTGATCTCTGGCTCCTGATGGGAGGTATATGCCATCAAGCGTTAACAACCTTGTTTACGATTGCCACTGCTGTTTGCAGTTCTGTTCGAGCTAAAAAAGAAATTGACATTTCATTAGTAAAAGTCACCTGTGAGTGGTGGTAAGAAATAACGATTCTTTTTTTCGGATAACTGTCCCTCAGATTGCACCGTCATAAACAATCCTCAAACCAGCATACGCTCAGGAAATATTACTGACTAGAGCCTTGCCCTTGTTAGAGCTCATGAATAGTGCACATCCACCAGACAGGCCAGGGCTTGAACTTCGGGCTTCTCGCATGGAAGGCCTGTGTTGGTTTGCAATGTGCCGACCGGCTCAGACAGCGAGGAATCCAAAGTTTAAATTTCGGCCGTCGGTCCGGTGGAAGTGCATTAACGAGCAGTCCCAGAAAGAACGAATTTGCAATCTATAGTGCTTCGCGAATGTATTCTTGGCTAGATGAATCACTTGAAGAAGTCAATTAATGTATTGATCGAAATATAACTGTATGCAACATTGCGAATGTTCGATTTGTGTGCGTATGATTTTCTTCACTCTGTTCCCGTTGAAGATCACCTGATGAACGCCAACGACACTTGTTCGTGTCGGGATTCAACGCACCCCGAAATCACAGTGCTTCCAGCATACTATGAAAACCGACAACTGAAAGCCACAGTTCGAATGAACTTGGAGTTGGGTGAGCTTTATCGGTCTAGAAATTCTCACTAATTAATTTCGCATGACCGTGATAACATTTCACATGATATGAGGATTACTGAGAATTGAAATTGTCTTCAATAACAATAGAATATGAGAAATACAATTGGTACTTTCACCTAAATAGATATAAAATCGAGCTCTGAGAAAATATAGAAAATTTCGTTGCTGGAAGCTCTTGAGAAGGATGAATTAAATTTTTGCTTATGTCTTCATCGGTTTCCTTGTTAAAGCTTATTTTGTAATTTGGGTGAGAGCAACAGATTCTCTTAAACTTAAAAATTCCACAAATGTAGCATGATTGATTGGTGCAATGTCGTTCACTTTTAAAAAGGAATGAATTGATGAAGCAGGTCATTTATTTTTTCTATATTACACAGAAAACGCTCTTCAACGCCTACTGTGATTTGTATTTCATGTGCATCAATAAATTAAATCAAAATTTGAATTCGAAAAATTGAATCCAAACAACACGTCAAACAAAAATCATACGTTTATTTAGATGGAAAGGAGAAAAGTTGAACCGAGTCTCATCACAGAGTTACTGTTTCCGCTGTAGTCAGAATAGAACTTCTGGTCTGTTTTGTTTACCGATTGTAGCCTGTATGGAAGCCGGAAATTTTTGATCGCATGAAAACCTAGGTTCATTTGGGAGAAACAATCAAGAAAGATTCAACTGATTTGAAAATACAATCAAATTCTGGCAGCGCGCAGGAGTAACCATGCATTAAATAACGTATGGGGTTCACACGTACTGCACTTTTCAGAATCGCATGATCTATCTGGGATTGAGGTTAATAACATCTACAAGTAGTACGTTTTTAATCGCTAGCTTTCGTATGTCTTATTTGATGGTATGAATCCTGGAAGACGGGTAGACCGATTTTCCGTCGCCGTTTGATAATATCCTTTCTGGGTAAAAAGCATAGCAAGGTTAGACTAGGTGTACAACAAACAACGTAGAAAAACTAAGAAAAAAATAATGAAACTAATGCAATATGAGCTATTTGACTGATCTGATGCTCTTTGTTTTTGTGTTTCTTTTGACAAACCAGCTCCACGCAAACAAATTTCCTGGGACTATTACATCATGCAAAACGATTTCTCATCTCCATTCATTTTTCATTCTGCTTCTAGAAAGTCAACGGCGGAAGCAGTATTTGGTGGACTGGGCACCAAGAGTTTGTATCGAATCTCAGTCGAACTTAGGACAAGATGATTATGTACCTCAGCGACAAACTGTGAGGGTGAGTTTATATGCAGCAGCACGACTAACAGCTTTAGTTTGCTTTTTTGTTATTTTACGTTTACTACTGATAAACATTCTCAGTAACATAAAACAGAATGGTGAATTTTGAGGACACTGTTCCTATAAAGTTGAAAATGTTTCGTCAGCGTGAATATTCAACAGAACAGTCGTTCCTTCGTTTCCCATTATCCTCGGGAGCGTGTTAGCCCAGTGCCCTTTAAATGAATGCTATCCTGTGACTTATCTTGATCTGATGGAGGCTGCTTTTAAGTTGTTAAGCCGTGTTCTACAACCTTCTTATTGGATCGGATAAACTATTTGTGGCGGACATGTAGACACCCACTTAAAGTTTGCTACGAAATTTTGTCTGATAGGACCCACAAATTACACATCAACCTATCTTTATGTGAATCTTATTCCTCTAACAGTTTCAACTACACAATATAGTTCTTTCGTGTAAACAAGCTTTTTGATACCGTGTATTGCCCGCTAATGGTTGAGACCTCACATCATTGGACCAAAATTAATGCAAACTAGACCCGATAGTTTGCTATGGCATGTCTATAGCAACACTTGAATACTATAGTGTTCTTTCTTTGTTCTTCAGTAAGATCTGGCCAAGAATAAGAATCGATCGATTGGATGTGACACATGCCTAGCTACTTCCAGTGAGAACCGATAACTCGCTGACCGTCTCGGATATTTTAGAATGACAAATTAACTTCTACCGTGTACAACAAGGGCACCACCGTCATACGAGTGAAAAACAGATGACAACAAGAATAATAAAAGTATTACGAACCGATCGTCAAACAGTCATGTATCGAGGTGAGGGATCACAAGTTGCACAAATCGTAGACATTTACCTAACCAGATAACAAAAGGGGTCAGAAAGAAACTTGGCCAAGTAAGGACAGGTGTGAAACCAAAAAGTCAATGTGTAAACGAAAGGACCATTGCATTGTGTATTCCATTTGTTAGACAATTATTTTTTCTACCATAGTTTTTAAACACCAGCTCTAACTGCTTAATTTCTTCAGGGATCGGAATTGTCCAAAGTTACGCTTGGTAACCTGCGGTTTCAGTGTCACTACAAAGTCACAATCAAACCAGTTACTGAACGAAAAGACCCTACGCATCGAGAATGGTTCGCTTGCTTTTGTACACCTTCTTGCCAGTCCGCTTTGATGAATTCGGATATCCCTCCTCCAAACTGTTCATTTATTAGTAAGTATATCCCTTCATTTCGATTTTATGTCCGTCATGGCAAATGGGTGCACAACGAGAACTGATTTTGTTATAACCTGTATTCACTGAGACTTTACCAACGACCATCAACCACTATCCAGTTTTGATTTTCCGTATGAAAGAAAAACGATGCAGGTGGAATTTAATAATCTCGAACCAATCCAACATGGACGAACGAACATTTCGGATAGGTTAATCCAGAGAGGAGTTAGAGGATTTCGGTTCATACCTCCATCGTTGATTACACTAGAACAAGTGCATGGTAGTGGTCAAGCCTTTACGGTCTACATAACTGGTGTTCTTTTGCCCCTAATATTTGAGCTCTGATACCGTTACCCCACTTCTTTTATAAGTAACTTCATTTTGACCTGCTTTTCCACTTTTATCGTTCCAAAGTTATAACAGTGAATATCAAGGGATTCGTTTATTTTTTCCATCGAGTTCGTCTCGCTTGCGGATCTTTCTATTTTTCCTGATTCTTGTCATCAACTTCCGTAAAGCAAACATCAGCGTAAGCAAATCAAAACGGTGTTCAACAGAAATGAGGCCGGTCCCAACCCGTGATGTGCTCGTGAAAAACAGATTCACAGCGGATACAGTGCACAGATTCGGATAAAGATTATAGGTCTCATGTCTAGCCCAGATGGGAATTTTGCTATTACATCTATTTCACTAAAGAATCAGTCATGAAACCTCGAGTGACAGAGTACAATTCTTTAATGGAAGTGTTGTATTCCAGGTCATATGTTCGGCACTAAAAATTGGGTTTCAATATGCACAGGAAATTCATTCTTGACCGTAGTAACCAGTTTTGTTATTATATCAGAGTGCTGAGTGAGCACAGAAGGACTGGAATCTTTATAAATTATTTTCCAATATTAACTGGAAATCCTCTGCCAAGATATGTTAATGCCATGTTAACTGATCGCTTATTGAGGATTCACATTTATTTTTTATTCAACTTTCCAATAACCACACGGGATCAAAGACATTCTTTAAGAAAATACCAAGAGAGTAATTACTAGTAATCGTTTACTTTACCTGTGTCCTTGAATAGCCACTTTAGAGACAATTCAGCCAATGCGGCTCACCTATACTGTTCTCCCGGAAACTCGAACGACGCATGACAGTGCACATATTTCACTTGGAAAGCAAGACAAGCAACGTTCCCTATGCAGAACAACATATAATGCCATGCTTAACTGGACTCCACTACCCGCGGAAGTGGATGTGGAATCTAGACGGAGTTTTCGAGCCTTGAACAACGTTCGCACCAGCAAGCACGTATCAACCGCGAGTATTCGCGGAGTCCGTGTTACCTGGGGACCGAGGATCTACGAGCCCGTTGCGCTGGAAGCCTACCAGAACGGTCTGTTCCCTCATCTCGATCCGGAGAGTGCACAATCTAAGGTGCTCGATCCGGTAAGTGTCTAATGATCCCGATTAGATGAAACTCAACATGAAGATAACAAAGAGGAATGCAAATAAGATCCCGGACTATTTTTACCATCCTAAATTAAACGAAAGGAAATTGTCTACCACGAGACAGTTCGAGCCCGGAGGATAACCATCAAATGCAATTTTCCAAAAATTCGTGACCAGTTTATTAGAAGCGATTGCAGATATTCCCGCCCTCCTTGATGCAGGGGCAACCATATAAAGTTAACATTTCTTCAATGCTGAAACGGTACATGAATTTGAGATAAGCAAATGAGAATAAATCAAATGAAGATAAACAGCCGCATCTAGAAGAAAATAGTGACAGACGGAATTTCTTGCATACTGGTGTTCAGAGAAACAAAAAGCCGGAAATTGTTGCGCTGTAGCTGGAATCATTTTCCCTAACATAAACAGTGTGAGATGTCGTTAGAGGACACAATCGGAAGACTTCTAGCCAGAAAGTACCTGATACTACTCAACCAACTATTGAGAGGCTGTCTGGTCTGGTTCATTTAGCATATACCAAATATGGCGTGACTCTTTGTTTTAAACTGATGGTAAGTTGTAACCCTCATTCACCATAGCGTCGGTCTTTAAAATTTGAGACGCAGCGGGAATCAGGCTAATGTGTATTTTATATTTCTTTTGTATTATTTGTATATGAAAGGAGAATAATCGCGTGTTCAATAAAACAATAAACACTTTCAGATCTAGTAAGTGGGAAATCGTTCAAACGACCCATAGTAGGGCCAACTAATTCGCGTACAAGGAAATTTGTAGATCAACTACATATGAGTTTGTAGGCGTTTAGTCATGCATTCACATGCATGGTACGCGCGCTCTGTAACCGCTGTTAGGAGATCGATAGGACGCGCAAACCGATGAGTAATTACGCCAACACACCTTTGTAAGCACAACTAAGCGGAAGCAGTTACCTGTTCCCGAGTACGACCTAACTGGACAGTGCATGTATAGAATCGATAACATAAGACTGAAATCGTTTACCCTGCTGTGTTTTACACCTTTGAAGATATTCACTAAACTCTTGACTTTGAGGTCGCCACGAATTCATCAATTAATGAAGGGTAAGGCATTAGTTAGAACGTCTTGCTTCTAGCTGATTGATTGTCTTCTTAAGCGTAAACCTCAGAAAATAACCAACCATAGCAAAACAACCCGCATGTTTTTCTCTATCCGCCAGAAATCTTCGACATTTATCCTTAAAGGCCTCCATCGGGAAACTCTGTATATAGTTCACGTGCAGCCCATTGGAGACCATTCGGACGGGCCGACTTCCACAGTTTTCTTCTCCATTCCAAGTGAGTGAACGATGTGATAAACTTCAATTATTATTGAACTCTGAATGCTTTGGTCATGTACTATATATTTTGACTATGAGTGAAACCGTTGTAACTTCACGTAAATCGGCCGCAACTTCGTGAATGCATAGCGTAATTGGCACTTCGATTGAGACACATCGCTCAATGAACCCGGTTTATTAAAACACTCCTCCATCGGAAGTGATCTAACCTCTCCGTGATCACGAAAATAATTTTTGAGTTGAAGAACAAGGGAAAGATTATATATATATATATATATATATATATATATCACCTGCTGGCGGGAAAGCACGATGCCAACCCCACAACAATAATAACAATAACACAATAGGGGAATTGAGTGTGAAAGACAATGAAGGTTAAACATGGATGGTTTCTGACTGTTCGTTCCCCGTTAGAGTAATGATCTTGACCGTTGACCGAGCGAGATCAAGTCGAGGATGAATGAAATCGATGGTACTAGACCGCAGTCGGACTATCGGCGAGTGGGGAATTTCGTTGATTTGCTAGTACTAGGAATTATAGTCATGGTAGAAAAAAGGAGTCAGTTTCAATCATTGCAAGACTTATAAGCGATAATCGGGTTCAGGGAAAAAGTTAATCACAATGTTTTTTTCAACCAAGCACTGAGTGCGGTGGCATGACCGGATTGGTGAAGTCAGTTCGACGCTAAGACTCCAGGTATCGGGGTCAATCCTCCTTTGGAAACAGCAGGATCAGGATCAGCTATACGAATTTTATTTAGAGTAATCCGTAAATAAGTGAGTAGGGCTGTTCAAGAGAGCTATGGGTAATTCTTTCTCTATATTTGGATGCCGACGTTATGCTTCTTTCTAACTGTACCTTTCAATTCTAACAATACGCAGCTGTATTTGGTTCAAAACAAGTGTGAAAAACCAAGGAAGAGTTGACCCAAATGGAATTTCGTTCTCTTGGACCTTCGAGGACCGAGGCTGAACCGACACAAGCACTATATCATGATCACATTCAGACCTGAACATAGTGAACGTTTTGTCCATCCACCTAACCGAGACTGGCTTTCGTACATTTTTTTATTACTGTTAACTTCTGGGGGACAATAAACAGGCATCGTGGTAGTTTCGTACAAGAGACATCTCCAACGTCATGCATTTCGAGGGCGCACTTCTAGGCTTTGCACGGCAAGCAAGGACTGGAGGACAGATGCATCGTTTCCCGTGGCCTGTTAGGAACTCATTCACCATTCGACTAAATTGGATTCAGATGAACAAGTCCTGTATCCCTACTGGTTTGATAAACTTCCTTTGTAACCGTCGAGTTAAGCGGTAGAAAGCACCCACTTGTCGGAATTAGTTGTCTTACCATAACATACACCGATTCGCCGAAATTGTAGGCCCTATTTACACTGAGTATGACTTAGACCACTGGTGCACGCCTAAACCTCTTGGAGCTACAGGTGAGATTTCTTGAGACAAGGATACGATTGATAATCATTATACCTCACTTTCTTATCCTACCGACCGACGTCAATTACCGTCCGTTTTGTTCATCCTTGTCTATTCATCGCTCAGGCGACGACCAAGATAATTTCCTTAACCAGGTTCTAACAGTCATTCGTTAGCTCTCGTTCTCCGACTCAAACATCAGTTATTTATTAGTGTAGGTCAGAGCACACCACATGGACAGGTCCACCAGGCAACGTACTGTGATCCGAGTACGAAATAAATGAAATTCCCAGTCAAAGGTAAAAGGTAAATTCACAGCGATCTCTCTTGTATTGGGAAAGATGCAGAGCGTGCTTTGTGATGACTGTTCAGCTTCCAATGATCAAGCGCCACAGGTCTACGAATTTCACATTGCACATTTCTCCCTTTTAAAGAATGTCGGTTGTGACATCACACTACTCTCTGAATGTCATTCAAATAATCTGCATTGGTTTCTTTCATTCATAAATTACAGATAACGCAGAATCCAGTGCGCCCGCGTCACGTGAGAAATATCCCTTTCTGGTCATCGCCGTGTTCAGTGTTGTCATGACTTTCTACCTCAATTATTCGTAGAGTCCACATCTGGTTGTCCTCGTCCGTTGCAAAACAAAACCGCAAACCGAGCATATGCAGCTCATAGTGAACAACTGAAATTGTGACTTGTCTCTAACTAACCAATCTATCAACGATCAGCGTTGGAACATGTACATAACCTTTCCCCCACCCGACGATCCAGGCCTGTCAGCCGAAATGTGATAGTTACATCAAAACGTACTTCCTTTGTTGACATAAAGAAACTTTATTTTGAGCAAATTCAAGCCTTCCGATGCTCTTCCATTGTCTCACCAAGGTAAATTANCACTAATTAAGAAAGTGCAGAAGATGGATGGAATCCAATGATGTGGTATTCTCGATGATGATGATGACTAAACCACACACTAGAAATATCTGCGATCCCATCACACGATTGTGGCGTAAATAGCCTAGCTGGATGCTTTCTTATGGACTGAGTACACAGATGAATATGCTGCCATCAGTGTTCAAACAAGTACAAGTACACCACTTCTCATTAAATACTTGATCAGCACAGCGCAGGAAAAGTAATCGAAACGACCTTTGAGAACGATGTATGGAAACTGATTAATTGGGTGCTTATCAATGACCAATTTAGACAGTCTACCGTAGTTAAATCCATGTACATTTTCTCCGTGGAACTTATTTCTCACTCCCTTCTCACCAGGAAAAGTTACCGTGAAAATATTTATCAAGCAAGAACGTCGGCTGAGACGTCTAAATCTAACTAACCATGTATCTACAACGCGTTAGTTCAGTTCAACACTGGAAAAGCAGCAATGTCCAAAGTTGCTGGAATTGCCAAACAATAATTCGAAGCTCTTTTCGGATTCATCGATTGCATTAGAAAACAATATTTCATGTCATTGGATGTTATAAATCACCTTTCCCTTTGTCAAAAACCAAATGAAAAAACATGACCATTGTGGTGAATGGGTAATTGGGTTACATGTAACCCCCTACAGAAATTCCGAATTGTTTAGCTTCGTGTTATGGAACATGCAATCTGAGCAAATGCAAACCGTGCCTCATTTGTGATTGCAAAATCGGGTTTCATATCCCTTAAATCAACATCTGCCGCAATTTTGAGGAGGATTAGATCTGAAGGCAAAAATCAGTGGTTTCCTTACCTCCTTGAAAAACATCGCAACCAGCGGTCCAGATTACCTTCTGCCAACTTTATTCCTAGTAATAACAACCGGACGTTATCAATGTGTCGCCCGGCAACAGCCCCGACCACTGGCTAGTGGTACCTATCATACTAGTGATGGAATGAAAAATGCGCAGATGGGACACGCCGAATGTATGTGAAATCTCTTGATGTCAACGAATGTTGATTTTCACCAACCTCCATATGGTCAAACCCGTAAAAATCGCTAAAGAGTCAGTCTTATAATGACCGCTTCGTCACTTTGTCTCTCTGCCACTTGTGCATTATCCTTCAAGTCTGATCGTTTCAGATCTGCACTTCACTGACTGACTGTTCATAATTCGAGTGTGCCCACCATTTACTTTTCCGTTGCTCAACATCTCTATATAGATGACTGCTCAAAATCCTGACGAACCAAACGAAACGGCCATTAACGCTTAATAATTAACTATCTGCCATTCTCGTTCCCGTTAGAGCAGTCTTGTTCTCGCCGCTCTATTTGCAGTTACCTACATCGTCCATCATATTGGGATCAAACTACACGTGTCCTTCTAACTATGATTAAATAAGTAGCTCGATAAACAGTTACACGCATCAAAATATAACCAGTCAAGCAGGTTGGGTTCGTTCGCGATAAGTCGAAGAGTGAAGCGCATCAGAATTAATGCATGGTCCGACTCAACGCAGGTAGTCCAATTTTGTACGGAACTACGCCAACGGTGGCTTACTGCTGTGTAGGTCAATTTGGGTCAACGTTCCCGTTGAGTTAGAACACCATGTTGCCGTTCAACGAGAGCTGTGACGAAAGTTGGTGCTAGATAAGAACAACCGATGATCCGCCAAGAACTGAAGTAATTGATCACCGTTGTCTGTTCGCTGGGCGCGGAGAGCGAAGTGCCCTCCTAGACAGGCTTCGGATGTGCTCAGTTCTCCAGCCTGCGCGTTAAAATCAGCTACCGGCACTATAATATCAGAGTTGCGGCTTAACCGAATCAGTTCGACGAGTTTGTCGTCCTTTGTGAAGTGAGACTGCAGTTGGGTTGTGCATATGCGGAAATGATGAACAAGCACCTTTTGGTGTTGATTCCCTTCAGAACACTAATGGAACTTTGGAGCCTCATTGCGCACAAACGACTACTGATGGGTATGCAATCTTTCGGCGAAGCTTCAGCTTTATCGTTAAGTACGATCACTACACCACGTGAACCCAGTGAGCGGGCTTTGTCATCTCCTGATGTATGAAGGAAATACCTCGAGGACAGATCCGGTGCACCCAAGTGGTTTATAATACTAGGATCTTGAATTCGTGTCTCCGATACGCAACAGACACCAATTTCTAAATTCATTATACGCGCAAGACAGGCTTGTTGATTTACCTGCATCAGAGTCCTCACAATGAAGACCTCTTGATTGATAGGTTGACGAGGCTTCAGAATCTGTAGTTTATTTACAGGAAAACTAGTTGCAGTGCTATTTGGCAACGACTTTTGGCGAATGACGAAGTTGTCTGAGGGAATGTTAGGGGTTGGAAGACAAAGAGTTAAACAAATGTTGGGATATCTGAGCAGTAGCCCATTCATCAGTGACCACCCCGCTCGATGCAATGGGTAGCGCTGTCCTGGTTATCCTGTGCGACGAACAATGCAGTATGAAATTATTTTTAGTTCGTGTTCATTGGAGCTTTATGGACGGGGTACCTCCAGGGAGTTCAACCGCTAAGCAGAACGATTAGGATTCACAACCAAAACCTTTAGATCTGAAAAGAACCTAACCGCAAGGCAGCGGTTAAGGCGGATTGGAGGCCCATTAACTTGGATCAATCGCTCCTCCACTATATTTTACCGACTGAGACACCAAATGAAGTCGAACCCCCGAACCTGGAGGACCAGGAAATTGGACTGTGTCTGACCTCTACCCATTGACCGTCCAGGGATGATTAGACCTTTGGCTCGACGAAAACCATCCTGTGTAGCTCGTTGGGTCAGAGATACGCAAGCCATCACATCACGTCAAAGTGCATTCTCGTCGTGGTGGATCAATCAGATTCGTTCACTCGGATCTAAACTACACTCAACCAAAGGTCAGATACCTTCGAACTGAAGTGCACAAGTGAAAGAGAGACGGGGCAATCGAATACTGTTCTGCCGAAATTTGCAATATTAGACAGCTCTGATAACATCATCAAGACAGACATAAGGATATTTTTATTTTCGACATTTTACGGACATTTTAGTGGTGAGAATTAAACCCAAAGGTGGGAAATAAGGTCCACAGAAAACCCACCAGTGCACAGTAACGGTAGACAAACAATGAAGCCATCGTATGTTGAATACCGCTCTCAAAATTCGTTTCCATTTTTCTCTCCCGAACTTGACGACCGGCTTCAGCTAATCCCGTAATAATTTCGGCAGGACACCAAGGATCCGACCAAATCCAAAGGTATGGTAACATTACAAAATATTTTTGTAATGCCCGGAACATTAGCAAACCTAAACTTTATTCAGAATTCCCAGAAAAGATAAACATAGGGCACAGTAAATCACCTGTGGTTAAGTACGGGAACAGGTCAGTGTTGTGATAAGAGCATATATTCTTGACCAAAATCCTTGGAACGGGCATCCTAATATCATTTATTAGCTCCAAATAGTATATAGCATGTGGCATATTAGCGAACTATCAGAGAGATGAGGTAATAGAAAGATGAAACTACAATTTTAACGAAAGAAAAGGCCTCCCAATGATCTGAGCGAATGAAATCGGTAACTCCGATCTTAAAACTGGATAGCAATCGCAGCTCACAAGATGACGTCGTGCGCTTTATTTTGTTGTCCCTGATTGCGATCTTCGCTTATATATAATAGAATATTGATCATTTCAAGTCTAGTTTGATCTCGGTTTAGAAATCCTTGTTGTGGAAGACGCGGCTATGTACCATATCACCAGAAATTTGGTAATTTATCAATCCGCTTGGCGTCCGAAAGGATATAAACAATAAGAGATTAACTGTACGTATTCTACACTGGTCAGACACCAGTGGTGGTGGTGGCGGCGCAGTGGTTTAGACGCTGTCACCGGCGTGCGTTGGACCTTGTGGTCCGAAGTTCGAGCCTCGCCACCCGACTTTGGTGGTAGGCAGCTCTGCGGCCGTCCGGTTCAATACCACGCCTAACTTATCAGGGCCTCATGTAGTTCGCCAGTCCAAGTCCCAGGGCTTAGGCTGCCGGTTTCCACTACTTAACAGTAAGTCCTCGTGACTATGGGGTTCGCCACGTCTGCTGTATATCACACTTCGGTATATAATAAAAATTCCGAAAAGCTTATGGGTCACATAAAATGTCAACAATACATTTTCTTTCCATCGATTCTATCCGGAAGTGACAGATCTACGAGTTCATTCCGAACGAAGTCTGAGCAATGATCCTTCGTAAATTAGGATGACGCGACGGAGTCGTATGAAAGATTAGTAGTAAAAGATAACACCGAAAATTTCGCATTCATCGGCAATGTTTTGCATATGCGAACGCTCAGTTTGATACTTCAAAATATTGGTCACAGAATTAAGCACCAATCAAGTCATGGCTTTTATTTTTTCTAAGTACAATTAATTCTCTGTACACCAGCTGTACAAATTTTTTTAAGATATACCAGGTCGCGAAAACCGCATTACGGTTTGAACTCTCTCAAAGGTAGATAGTAACAGCCTTTTTGTACTCCTCCGAAAGATGTGTGAGATGACATTGGATACAGCTACCGTCAGAACCGGTAGGAGTTTTGCGATGCAAGTTGTCAGAGGTGACCAGACGACAACATACACTTGGTTGCATGGATTATGCCAGTAGATTGTGAACCACCGGCTTGCTGATGAAAAAGTGTTGGCTCTTTCGGTCTCATATGAACAAGAAGTGAAACGTGCCCTAGTTGATGTTATGCAACACCTGGGAACAGAGAAACGAGAAGCAATGCTCAATTCTTTGTAAGTCAAGCATCGAAGAGAAGATTCATACTTGTCTAGAGCATAGTAAGGCGACAATCTCGCGCTATTTCACAAGTACATTGCAGTTAGTTCAGCGTTTTGCCGTCCTACCCTAGCATGTTTGATATTGAGGAAGAATTTTGACACTGTCAATCATGGAATAGAGTAGCGTAACGATCAATTAAATGAAAACTTATTTGCGCTAGCATCAGACGAACGGTAGCTCTCATAGAGTATGCGTGCGACTTAAATGCATGAGTAAAAGGATACAAGGCAAACTACTGGCCCCTAGGTGAACTGGAACAAAGCTGCTGTCCTGCAGACTGAACTTGGATGTGTAAAAGCAAGGGGCACATCCTCAAAGAAGTTGAGCGACACAGGAGACAGAATTTGATAGGATACTCCGGTAAATCCGTCTTCAGGGAGCAGATGAATCCTCTAACAGATAGTGGTGTAAAAGTGAATACAAACGTAATTCAAGGGGTACAATCTTATCTTAACAAATGTGGCCATTTTCGTGTAAGAAGCTAGCCACAAGACATCATTGTGTCCTACGGTAAGCCTCAGGTTGACTGCGTAGCCGGGTTAAATATCTACCCAACAGAAGGAAGTACAAAGATTAGTATCACTGAATCATCTTGATTTTTTTCAGTTGCAGAAAATGCGTTCTATATGGTACACTGAAAAGATGGCAGGTGATGGTGGAGAGAGGGCTCATTGGCTAAGACATTCCTTCGTGGCACATTTGATTCATCAACATGCTCATTTCCCCCACTGATTAACAGAGTAGAAATCACTTATGTACAAAGGATAAATCGTAATTTGCTTAGCATAAGCCAAGACTATGTATGTACAAACAATAATGACAACCGACGGAGATAAATGCAAATTTCTAGTTACTGCAAAGGTTGACATGTACATTGGTTATCATGGAAAAAGAAGCGTCCTGAGAGACTGGTGTGGATTATTGCTTTCAATTTTCTTCATCGGAATCAGCCACAAGAACCGTACGCCCAGGAGTAATGGCGGTCACACCGGAAGGATTCGGGGCCACAAAGCTATACGGTCGAGTTAATTGTTGCAATTCCAAATCCATATCCTCGGCAGTCATATCATTTGCATCTTCACTGTGCTCAATGAACGAGAAAAGAGCGGACCTGGCCTGAATATAAAAAGTGAAATGGGAAAAATGGTAACTATCAACTGAACGCAAGGTTACTAGGGTAGTGCAGTTCAACTGGAAAGCCATCAACTTTGGTCAAATAAGCGTTGCGGACTTGTGCACTATGAGACGAGGATACGTGGGTGAAAATTACTTTGATGTTGAGTCCATAAGTGCGACAGAAGTGTGCAGGATTCTGAAAGGCGCCCCCTAAAAGGTGTGTTTTATAAAAGCGAGTCAGGGACTAGAGAAACTTCATGCCTAGGGGTGAGCTGCACATGAACGAAATAACCATCTAAGATACGTGACAATGACTGCTGTGTGTATTCACCTAAAGTTTGCTGGAGCGAAACAACATAAAACAAAATGATCCCGCGATCAGCCGATGGTGTTTTATGTGGTGCATCCATCCAGATTCCAGGATATAGGTGAATGAAGCTCCAAACCGCATCAATGGGTCCGCATGAAAATGAGGGCTTTCTGTTCTACCGCTGTTCACCATTCTGAAAGACACAAAAACGGCTAAACACACTGTCAATATACAGCATCCTCCATCAGTCAAATTTTATTAACATGCAAACTAAACTGAGCGAATGACCCGAGAGCACAGAAGCTAAGACAAACGGGACAAAATTATGATGGGGAGATGTGAACATCTCACCGGCTATGTTAATTTATGTATACATCCGTATCGAAAGATTTTCATCGCATCTTCCAAAAAGGCTCTGCCGGAATAAAGAAAAGGCATATATGAAAGGCAGGTGCGACGATGTTGAATGGCCATCGATTCTCATCAAGGTAAAAATTCAGCGCTGGAATTGGATGAATGTCGACACTATTCTGAGCAGCAAGAACTGTCGTGAGATGTGGTCGGCGTTAGATTAACTCTGTGACACACAAGAGAGCTCCAGTACCGATGTCGAAGAAACAAATCGGCAATTTTCTGTCTCATTTGGTTTCCAATTCACTACTGTCCTCCTTCCATTCCCTAGAAAACACCAACCCCGTTTCTCGGACTGATATTCTCAAAGGTCTAAAGCAACTTAATTCCAACAAGGCCCACGAATCTGACGCATTAGCCCCCGTTTTATTGAAAACCTGTGTCCAACACCTTGCAACACTCGTTGCTAATTATTTCAATTTGTGTATGCCCCCTGGAACCACCTCCCATTCCTGGAGGGCCGTCCGGATAACATCAATCCCCAAGAAGGGCTCTTCAAAGCATTAACCAATTGGTAGTGCATCAGCCCAGCTTAAAGGTTTTTGAAAGAATGATGTTGGACCGGACGGCTATCGTCTCTGATGTTCACAATCCCCTCAAATTTGCTTAAAAGGTTTCACTTTTGACTCTGGACGCCGTTATCTACATTGTTTGTTCTGTGAATTGCGTTTCAGATAGGCATGCTGGAACTGTTCACCTTATTTGGGTTGATTATGTCAATTCCCTTCGTTGCGTAGACCGTCTCACTGAACATCCCTCTGGCTGTGGCTTGTTGAACGTTCTTCTAAACCACTAATTTAGGACGAAATTTACTTCATGCCATGGCAAAACTACCATCGCTTCTAACGTTACCCCCTGGTGTTATTCATAGCATCATTTCGTCACCGTTCTTTTTTTCCTGGTACATAAACAATTTGCCAGTTTCAGCCAACTTCATTACCTGCAAGTTTGCTGACAACATGTTCATCGGGTGCCACTCCAATAACGATGTATAATTCCGCCCACTTCTAAACGTCCAAAGGTCATCTGTATTGAGTGTCCTCCACGATCCCTCATGATTAATCTTTCGAAATGTGTTGATGATCCCTTTAACTTTACTTATTATCGCACTATTATTAATGATCTACCTGAATTCGTCGCTAGAAGTTAAACGTTCCCCAAAGCTGACTGTTAAATACCTCGGCGTCGTTCTATCACACAATCTACCCGGGATTTACCATATACAGAATGTTTACATTATTTTTTTACAAACTTTCATTTTATGCTTCCAGGCTTAGAAAGCCTACTGTTTCCCCAAATGCGATACTGTAATTTGTGGTGGCATTCATCCGTCTTCACTCGCTGTATTGTTCCTCAGAATTCTCCACAGTTTAAGAGAAAAGGATTTCATATTCCCACATATAAAGGATTTCATATTCCCATGGTTGCATAAAGAAAACGAGTCGATGAACAAACAATTGTTTTTGGATATTCCTAGTCATGCTCTTACATAACATATACTGAACAAATTCTTATATTATGATAGCCATTGGATCAATTTAGGGTCATTAATCGAAGGCAGAGAGTAATGGAAGTGTATGCGTGTGTGCGTGTAGGAATGTTTAGCGTGTTAGTTGATATAACCTTTCCCCACTTGGGTCAAGTGACACGTCATGTTCTGTCTTGGTTTTCATACCCGGCCAAAGCAATTGAAACGCCTGCACCAGTCGTCTTTGGGCACGCATGTTAGGGCTTAGTAGGCGAATGGCGATCGCCTCACACACTGGATGAAGAACTACGCTTCATCCGCCAAACGCTGCAGGACAATGGTTACCCGGAGAAGTTCATCGATAAGAATATTCAGCTCACTCTGGAGAAGGAAAACTCCACCTGTGTCCCCAATAAAAAACTATTCATAAGAATCCCATTAAAGGGGGAGTCACACTGAGAAAGCCTAGTCCAATAACTGAGAGCAGCTGTGAATTCCACTTTCCCCGCAGTCAAACTTAGACCAGTGTTCTCTACATCACCGGTGATGCGAATGCAAATGAAAGACAAAAGGCCGAAACTGACCTCATCCAAGCTAATTTACTCTTTTAAGTGCGTCTGTGGTGCATGTTACATAGGTCGTACGGTAAGGCGTTTGTCTCAGCGCGTTAAGGAGCACCACCTGCGATGGTTAAGTCAGGGGAAGATTGGCTGTATCTCAAGCGCGATCGTGGGGCATCTCGTTGACACCGGACACAAGATCGAACCGGAGAAAGCTCTGGATATTGTTTATCGTATCCCACTCAATCGATCGAAGGTTGCCCGAGTTTGGACACTGGCCATGACCGAGGCGGTCGCCATTCGCTTACTAGGCCCTAACATGTGTGCCCAAAAACGACTGATGCAGACGCTTCAATTGCCTTGGCCGGGTGTGAAAACCAAGACAGAACATGACGTGTCACTTGACCCAAGTGGGGAAAGGTTATATCAACTAACACGCTAAACATTCCTACACGCACACACGCATACACTTCCATTACTCTCTGCCTTCAATTAATGACCTTAAACCGATGTCACTGAAGAGCGATTTTCTACGAACACAAATGTGGTTTAAAGCAGCAGCAGTTTTAATCATTTGTGAGCTGCCTTTAGTGATTACGCGTCTTCAAGAAGTACTGTGTTCCCAAATGTCAAGCGCGTACAACCCGATACGAGTCACCAACAACCGCCTTCTTATAACTGGTCGAATGGTTACCCGCTTCGGCATGGTCAAGTTAGTTCACCAAGTGGTTTGAGCGCACGAAACCGTGCATGAACGCTGATGGAGAATACACTTAGAGAAAATGTAATGATGGTCTTTGTGAAACAAATAAAATTTTCCGTGTATCCGGAAACTTTTTGCTAAGTTTCGTATCCGGTGATCTCTCATCTAGACGTCCGGGTACTTGAACCCCAAATAAGCAACACGGGGTGTATATTTCGCGAACGTGCTTCATAAGCGAATCAAAGCGATGATTTGTCCCGATTAGAAGCATCCAACTCGTAAAACATCGTTTATAATTATCGCCTTGATTCACTGATGGACGGTATGTTCATAAAATATAATCCCCGTGTAGTTGATTCGAGATGTGAGAAGAATATATATATATAATGACAGTTTTTGTAAACAATGGTGTTGATTGTTGTTTTTTGTAACAGTAACAATTAGACCGATCAACAGCCAGCCGTCAGACTGCTCGCGTCCACCTCATCCCCTATCGGCGAACAAACATCAGCCA